AGCATTTAGCTTTTTGAAGCATTTAGCTTTTTGAAGCATTTAGCTTTTTGAAACATTTAGCTTTTTGAAGCATTTAGCTTTTTGAAACATTTAGCTTTTTGAAACATTTAGCCTTTTCTGACATTTTTTCCTCGTAGAAAATGAATTGAGCTCATTTTCCTTCAGATCTTTAGATGTGTTCAGAACATTTTGCTGCTCCGTTCACATTTTGTTCTGCTTCAGCTTCTTCTGCAAATTTAAACCTTCTTTCAGCTACTTACAGCTGTTTTTTTCCAGCTGTTTTGTGATCCTTTCAGATTATTTCTGCTTATTTCATGGTCCTGTTTTTAGTTTTCTACATTTGCCTTATAATCTAGCTGTTTTTACTTTTTTGGCCATGTTATTTGTAATAAATAAATCTGTACGCCTCTTTTATGATTGTCCGTTGTTGTTGTTGTTGTTGTTTGTTGAAATCAAGTCTCTTGTAAACGAGTCCTCGGGGCTCAGCGGGATTAACCTTCTAAATTAAGGTTGAATGAATGAATTTCAGCTTGTTATGCTCCTTTCAACTGATTTATGGAAGTTTCAGCATTTTCTGCTATTTCAGCTACTATTTAGCTGTTTTGGTGCAAATTTTAGCTTTTTCATGTAATTCCACATTTTTTGCACTCATTTCAACATTTTCAGCTTAATCCATAAAAAAGTGCTCTTTCCACTTCCTTCTGGTAATTTCAGATTATTTCTGCTTTTTAGCTACTTTTCAGCTGTTTTTTTCTGTGTGCAAATTTAAGCTTTTTTTTTTTCAGATAGTTTCCATTTTTGTGCTCATTTCTGCTTCTTTCAGCCGAACTGGTCAAACGTGTTCTTTCTGCTTTCTTCTGCTGATTTCAGCTGCTGTTTTACCATTTCAGCTGCTGTTTTAGCATTTTTTGTTAATTTCAGCTGTTTTCAGATAAATTTGTTTTTCATGTTAATTTCTGCTACTTTCAGCCTAATTAACTTCTTTCTGCTAGTTTCAGCTTTTTCTGCTCTTTCAGCTACTATTTAGCTCTTTTGATGCTAGTTTGAGCTTTTTCCTAATTCCATTTTTTTTTTAATCTCAGTTCAGTTGTTTCTGCTTCCTTCTGGTAGTTTAAGCTTCTTTTTTCCTTTTCAGCTCCTTTTCAGATATTGTTGCTAATGTCAGCTTGTTTTTAGCTAATTTCCTCATTTTTGTGCTCATGTCTGATTATTTAAATCTAATTCAGCAAATGTGTGTTCTTTCTGCTTTCTTCTGCTAACTTTGGCTTGTTCTTCAGTTTCAGCTGCATTTCATCAAGTTTTAGCTAATTTCAGCTGTTTTTCAGCAAGTTCTTCAGCAATAAGTATTCACACTGCATTTTCACAGGAAATGCAGTTTCTCTGGATTAAAAAAACTTTTCATATCCTGCCAGTTTAAAGTGTTTGTAAAATAAGAGCTGCACTTTGCTCATGTCTTGTTTCTGCAGCTCCCTCCAGCTCTGAAGTGGATCGGAGGGACCGGTTCTCTGGTTCTGTGAACTCCCCGCTCAGCTCCCACTCGGGCTCCTCGCCGGCTGCCAGCTACCTCCACGGAGACTCTCCGAGAGCGCCGAGCTTCAGTCGGGGTGGAAATCACAGGTGAGCGTGTGGCTGCAGCTGCCGTGGCGATCCGTGAGCGAGCAGAACCAGTCTGAACCCACGGAGACTCCTGGGTGGGAGCTCCTGCTCCGAGTGATTATCGTGTGAAATGCTTCAAATCTGACGTAACGTTTCGTTCATTTTGTTTCAGAATCGGCTGCTTTGGACTAAAATGATCTGAGAGGTATCTGCTGCTTGGTGTGGCGCTGCATGACTCCTTTCAGACCGTTGGGTTGGGCGATCAAACCAGTATAAAACGTTCACTTTAAGAGTTTTGACCAGTAAATAAATCTACGATTTCAATCCAACTCCAAACACCTGGGCTCTGCCGAGTGGCCGTCGTTTAACAGCTCCATGAAGATTTGAGTTAAATTAACAAATATGGACTCCAGTATTAACTTAAGACGAAACCAGTACAAATATACTTGTTTTATTTTTATCACTGTTTCCAGTGAAATGCTGTTAGTTGCTGTTGTTGACTTTTTTCCCAGAGTTGCTTGAAAAGCTTGTTTTGTTGGATTAGGTGCATCGAATGTATCGTTTAATTGTGAAAATCTTTTTGTCCCCTGTCGTGGAGCGAGCTGGGTAACTTGAAACATACGTGAGCTACTTCCACTTTAATGTGTGGCTGAATATCAGATTAGGAAAAGTCTCCTTCAAACATTTGGGTTGCCATGTCACAATCCAAGATGGCCACCACCATGTACAGTCTTACCCCTAGGTTACATGTCTTGGCAGGGCGCTCATCCCTTCCATGAATTTTGTTGAGGGGCTGGAGATGGAGACCCGTCTATGTCGCACTGTTTGTTCTGACAGTTTTCAAGTGGGGGGGTGGGGAGGTGGGGGGTAGGTGAAGGAAACAGCTCAGTGTGAGAGAACCGGAGCGCTACCTCTGTAGCTTTTTAGCTAGCCTGTCTGTATTACGTGCCACTTGCTTAGCGCTACTTCAGTTCTGGCAGTTGTCGACGGGATGGGGGGCAGTTGCTCAGTTCTGTTGACAGGGAGGGGCGCCTCTTTGTAGGGGAAACACTGATACAGTAGTCCCTCTCTCTGTCGTGGTTTTTCAAAATAAGAGTGGACATGACACACAACTGGCTGATTGATTGGTGAGCCGCACGATCGGCATGAATTTTTATTTAAAATAAATTATTTTAAATTATTTAGCACCTGCTGCACATTTGTGTAGCCCACACTGCAGGACAAGCTTCCTGCTGCAGCTGATCAGCTGTTCACCGTGCCGAGCTAAGTGGGCGTGGCCAAGAGAGCTTGCAGGTGGCTGAGAGCAGAGGAGGCAGGGAGCTGAAATCATGACATTCTGTGTCTTTTAGAGTGTTTAGAAACATTGTTTAGAATATTGCAGGAGTGTGGGAAGGGTTTAAAACGCCTAAATATATATTATACATATATATATATATATATATATAAAATAAACTACAACTTACTACTTGTACTACTATTCCTACTTCGCAGTTTTTCGCTTATCGCGGGTCTTCAGGCTACAGATCCCCTGCGATAAATGAGGGACCATTAACTGTACACATTAAACAGACCACCTCTATCATTTAAAGAAACTATGCATTTAGTTTTTTATATTCTTTTAAAGTATAGTTTCCTCAAATGATTGGGGTGGCAGAAGATTAATCTTCAGGGGCCAAGGCCACCATTAGCCACCCCCTGGTTCCTCCTCTGCACCTGGCGGTGGATAAAATGCGTCTCTACTCACCAGGATCCATGACGAGGAAAACAAAAACACTTCCTCAGTTCTCAGACACGGTGTAACTCCTCCCCACTCGAATATCTTGCACCAGAAACATTCTCTGTTCAGCTCCAGTCCAGAAAAACACTCATCTCCAAAACTACAAACATTCACTGTTCAAACCCCTCGGTGACGGGGACATCGGTGTCAGTGTTGCCAGGTGAGAAATGTAGGATTATCGTACTAGAGACATAAAGTTATCGTATTTTGAGTGAAATTATCGTACACCAGAATAACAAATCTATAGATGCACTATAGTAGTGATGGGTCCGCTTCCAGACCGGCTCTGCTTCTTCTTCTGGTCTTCTTTTCTTTTCCTCACTCATGGGGCGGCGCAGCGGACTGTTCATCCAATCATGGCCGTTGTTCTGAGGCAAACACAACCACGTCACTCGTAGATCACATTTAGAAAAGCACGATTGATCGTGCGTCTGTTTCCGGACACAGACGCCTTCGGGGTTCACAAAAAACTCCGACAGACATTGCAACAGGCTGATGACAACCGATTACAACCACACATTCACAGAATGATCAAATTATCGTATATTTGGCCTTTTTTGGGATTATTGATCGTACAGAGGGCAACATTGTCGTACAAATACAATAATTATCGTACACCTGGCAACACTGATCGGTGTAGTGTTTGTTTCCACTTTGACTAAAACCACGGCTAGTTAAGTTTCCTGAACCGACGGTAATCATCCGTCTGCTCCGCCTGTGTGAGTTTGATGTTTCAAGACGTTTTTCTTTTACTTGGTGTTTGAAGTTGACCACATGTTCTCAGTCTGACTCCTAATATCAGCCGGATCGAGTACATTTTGTAATAAACATTTGAGTAACTCCTCAAATCCAAGATCTTCATCTTTGGTCACTGGTTCACAAACAACTTATTTCCACAGTTGACAGCTAATGGGAAAGATGGCCGCCTGTCACCCAGCTCTGGTCTGAGGGAACGTAGAACAAGACTGTGTGCGCTCGCAGCTTTGGATTGAGACTTGTTTGATAAAACGTTTGCCGTGCTCTAAAAGATCAACCGTTATTTTTTGTGACGTATGTTTTTTCAAACCTGCTACTTTTTCGTTTTAGCGATGCAGTTGTGGAACTTCAGGTCGAGGTGACGAGACTGAGGGAGAAAATAAAACATTATATGACATACAAGAAACACTTCGGCTCGGAGACGGCGGCTCCTTCGGCTCGTCTCGGCACCTTCACTCCTCCCGTCAGGTGAGTGTTTGTCCTCCCGCTGCAACCACACTTTTTATCCGCCTTACAAGAAAAACCTGAGGACGTTTGTTCGAATGTGTAGCCACGTAAACTCGTAAGTTTATCTGCTGACATAAAAATGATAAAAAGTTATTTTTACAAAGTGAAACTCAGACACACTCGATGTCGCCCACTGCTGCTTACGAGAAGATTTCTGTTTGACGTTGATCTTTTTTAACGTCTCAGATTCGTGGAAGTCTGGAGCGACGACCGTCTGGGCAGGAGAGAACCGAGCGCAGCCGAAGACGACGAGCCGGACTCTGCGTCTGGACGGACGACAGGAGCGAGATCAACGTCTGCACAGAAACAACGGCGTGACGTCCGTGAGTTTAACAACTGACGCTGAACAGAACTGTTTGTTAGTTTACGTGAACGTCGTCTAGATGTAACGATTCTACAACTTGGTCAGAATTATATTAACGATCTTGAATATTTCTGGTTCATCAGTCAGATCTGAGAGACTAAATTTGATTTGTCTCTCTGATTCCACAAGTTTTTACTTTGCCTAACCTAAAATAAAACTAATTTAGAGCAATAGTATTTATTTTAAATTTAAACTAGAGGGTGTAAGTATTTAAATAAAATGGTTTTGAGTCTTTATTTTTCCTACGTAATAATTAATCTAAATGAAAGCCGGCTGACGGTGTTTTTAAAACGAATGCATGAATGTAATAGATCCTGGAGCACAACTTCTTGCTGAAGCAGCGTCGTGTTCAGCATAAAGGTCATACAGAGAAATCAGTCTGACAACAAATACCATAATTTCAGGACTATCGAGTGCACCCACTAATTTAAAAATAAGTGCACCCACTAATTTAAAAATAATATTTTTTGTACATATATAGGCCGTGCATGTCTAAAAGCTGCGGCTTATAGTCTGGAAATTACGGTAAATATTAAATGCAGTATTTTTTTATTGTTGGTTTTAGACTTTGAGAGAAGGAAGAAAGGTGAGACGTTAGAAAATCATCAGTGAGAAAAGATGAACAAGGCGCGATCAATCCGTACGATTTGATATTTAATCTAAAATTTAATCTAAACTAAATCTGTATGCATCTTTTATAACTGTCTGTTGTTGTTGTCATTCTTTGTTAAAATCAGGTCTCTTGTAAAAGAGTCCCCGAGGCTCAATGAGACTAACCTGTTTAAATAAAGGTTGAATGAATATTTACATAAACTCAAACTTTTATTTTTTTCAGCTGAATCAGACTCGAGCTCACGACTAAACAGATTTTTATTCAAAAAGAGCAGAACTTTGTGCTGAACAACACGTATAATAATAATAAATGGACCCTGGTGCTTCATGCTGCTCGTGGTTTTGTTTTCAGTGACGAGATCCGAGCTGGACCCTCGGCCTCACGTTTCCAGATGTACCCAAACATCTGCAGAGCCTCGCAGCTGCTCCTCGCCTCCTGCTCGCAGCAGGAACACTCGGACCTGTAAGATCATCCTCCACTTGGTCAAAAGCATGAACTCTTTTCTCCGGTCAAAGAAAAGACGAGTTAAACTGATGACCAGCAGCTGCTGCAGCGTGTCCGTCTCCGTGTGACGTCATCTACTCGTGCGTTTCTGTGTCAGGTCAGAACTCTGCGTCTGAAGCAGCAGATGAACCCGACGGTCCGAGTCCGGCTCCTTTTTGTCCTCGGTGTCCATCAAACCTCAGAGGTGGAGCCCAACGTAAGACTAAAACTAAAACTATGTTTGTTTTTTATTTTCACTGTCGACTGACCTTCATAAACATTTTTCTCCGTTTGTCCTGACAGAACCACGGAGGGGCAGCAAAGATCCGAAACAGTCCTGTTGTTGTCGCTGTTCGCTTTGTGGAGGCCTTAGAGGACAAAACCACGCTGAGACAGGTGAGGACTTCTGAGCTACAGAAGACTCGATCGTCTCATTTACGAGTTCAGTCTGAAATTAAAGCCAGTTCTACAACGTTTCCTGTTCAGACTGCAGCAAACGGAACCCGTCCTCTCACCAGAACCTCCAACCAGCCGAGCCTCCGCACATCTGGAGGTCTGTCACGGCTGCAGCTTCGCCTCCGGCGCTCCACTTCCTGCCAGTTTACCCACCACAGCTCCTGTGAGTACAAAACGCACCGACTGCTGGTTCTGAGCTCGCACCGGCCGCAAACGGACCCGTGAAGACAGATCAGTGAAGTCAGGGTGATGTTATTCACTCGTTAGTGTCTGGGAGGATTTACGTCTAAAAGCAGAGTTCACCCGCAAAGACGTGTTTCTGCTCTGCTGCACTGAAATAAAATATTAATCCCAGAAACGACAGAACAGGTCCGCGTTCCTCCAGATTATCTGACAATAAACCAACTTTAGGTGCTGGTTGACTCACCGGCAGCTGATCAGAACATCCCACACAGGCCAGCTCAGTAAACTTCTCCACTGCCAAGAATAAAGCCAGATGTTTTGAAAGCAGCTGTGCAGAAAGAAGAGTCAGTCACCGGAGGCTGCACGCCATAAAGCGGTGAGTTTAAAACCTTTCACTTCCCGTAAAGTTCAGCTGATGATCAGTGTTCAACGAAGTCCTCAGACCACAGCTGCTCGATAACTTCTTGTAAAGTCCAGATGTGCAAAGGACAACAAGAATTCATGGGTTTAGTTTTAAGTTCATGCTTTAACCCTCTCATTGAGAGAAGCTCTACCATCAGCACCGCCACTTCTAAACTGTTGTTGTTCTAGTAGCACACGAAGAAGCGTTAAGCACACGAGGGCGACGAACGCGTGCCGTTATTGATCTGTGCGTCTCCAGTAAGAAAACGAAACGATGAACCCGAAGCTTTGGTGACATTTCTACAGAAACTCGCAGCAAAGGAATTCATCGGGAAGTGCGTTTGTCTTCAGCAAAGACTGTTTTAATGGAAAACGTTACAAACGCTAAAACATTTACGCCAGATTGTAACGTTGGACAGTGTCTCCAAGAACGAGCTTCATTTACTGATTCTTTGCCTCCAACTTCAGTGACTTTTACAATGAAGCAGTTTCATCCTGACAGACTGTCTATAACTATCTAATTAATAAGTAAGGAAGTGTTTCTGATCAATAAGGAGTTGATCAATAGGTCTAATGGTGCGGCGGTGGCTGAGTGGTTACAGCAGTCGTCCTCCACTGTTTAAGGTTCGAGCAGCGATGCTAAACCTTCGTTTTGTGTCGGATCGTATCAGAAAGTGAGTTTTTAGCGTGCAGGCAGTATTTTTCCTCTTGTCACCAAACGTTTGTGTAAACGATCGATGTTCTCACTTTTCTTCTTGTTCTGTTTCTGTCGTCTCCAGATTGTGCTCGACGCCTCTGCACACGTCTCCTTACATCACGGGCGTCCCTTCAGGACCCGGGCGTCCCGAGGAGAGGACGGGGAGGACGAGGCGTCCTCTGTCCGTGGACAGACACCGTTCTTTAGACGGCTCTCTGAACAGGGCCGTCCGAGCGGCCCGGCGCATGAAGCTCACCTCGGGACACATGGCTCGCTCGCTGGCGTCGGGGCTGCAGCACCAGGACCAGGACCGGGTCTCTCAGTCCTGCAGCTACTAGAACCAAGCTCAGGACCAAATGAATAAATTCCTCGAATCCTCCTTCTGGATAGTTTCATGTTTTTAAATTAAAACGTTAGTTTTTTACTGGATGTAACCAAACGACTTTGTTTCAGCCAGAGTCATAATATTTACATCAGAAGATGTGCCGCCATGAAATAATTCACCTTTCAGTGATGAAGCGCTGTAGGTCATATTGATGTTTAATTACAGTTGAATTCATTCGACATCACTTTGTAATGGTCGTGTTTGTAGAAGTCTGAAAATAACAGATGTTGCGTTTGTTTAAATAATTTAAAGTATGACTTTATATGAAATGCCTTCATTTATAAAACATGTTTAGAGCTTCACGTAGATGATCGTCTTCTCAAACTACTGACTGTTCTGTGTATTGTTTTATAAATATATATTTTTAGAAACGTCTTGAAATGGGAGCTTTATTGACGCCTGTCCTGTTTTTGCTGCTTTGTCCGTTTGCAGTCGTTTGTATTTGAACCAGAAACTCTGAGAGAGTAAAGCTAAAATTATACACGTAAAATAATATGTTCACTCTCTGAGCAGTAAAAGAAAAGCAGCACTCGAACCTCGTTTAGCGAAGAGTGAGTTCAGTAACGGACAATCACTTCAGGCTAGAAGTAGTTGGGATCCATTTTTCCAGTAGATTATATAAAACAGTGGCCCAGTACCACAGAAAGTACTACACACCACTATTCTCACCATTCAGTCCATATATCCATTATCTGTACCTGCTTCCTTCCTTTTGGGGCGCGGGGGTCACTGGTGCCCATATCCAGCTACAACAATGCAAGAGGCGGGGGACACCCTGGACAGGTCTCCAGTCCATCACAGGGACACGGAGACAAAACCATTCACTCTCTCACCTAGGGACAATTCAGTGTTACCAGTCAGACTAACATGTATGTTTTTGGTCTGTGGGAGGAAACTGGAGTACCTGGAGAAAACCCACGCATGCACGGAGAGAACATGCAAACTCCACCCAGAAAGGTCCTGGACCAGGATTTGAACTGGCGACCTCGCTGTGAGGCATCAGTTCTACCAACTGAACCACAATACCGCCTTTGAAAAAATAAACCGGCCTAACCTCTGTCATTTAAGGAAACCATGATTTCTAGTTTTTATATTGCTAAAAAGTAGTTTCCTTAAATGATTGGGGTGGCCCAGGATTAATCTATGGGGGCCAAGGCTACCATTGGCCACCCCCTGGCTCCGCCATTGTACCTGTTGGTGGATAAAATGTCTCCCTCCATTTGCCATGATCCATCACTCTCCATCGACTCAGACAAGCAAAACAAATGTTCTTCTCCACAGAGTAACTCCTACCCACTTGAATATTTTAAACCAAAAACATTTAGGTTCACTTGCATTCTCTGTCCCAGTCCAGAAAAAAAACAACACTCGTATAGAAAACTAAAAACATTCATGATTCAAAACCTTCAGCGTTGGAGGCCATTAGATTAACGTTACAGTTCATCTTATTGTGGGGAATTAACTTGATTTGTTTTAATGTTGTACATTGATTCAATTCAGTTTAATTATAAAGAGCCAAGTCACAACGGAAGTCGCTCAGGACTGAACAGAAACGTTCATCTATAAAAATAAACATTAATTATCTGAGGAGCAGCTTTGAGTTTAACTCCATCACAGAACTCTCATCTTGAGCAAGCATGAAGGCGACAGTGGAAAGAAAAAACTCCATGAGGAAGAAACCTTTAGCAGAACCAGGGCAAGTGGCCGTCTGCTTCGACCGGCTGGGTTTGGTAGGAACAGATACACAATGGCAGGTCAAGAATCATGTTAAGGTAGAAATAATATCAAATGAAAACTATTCAATTAAAAAATAATAATAATAATTAAGGACATGAGGTCATTGTGTCCTCTGGTAGTCTAAGCCTATAGCAGTACAACAAGCCAACCCTAACTATAGGATTTATCAAAAGGAAAGTCTTAAACTGGACAATGTGTCAGCCTCACGGACAGAAACTGGAAGTTGGTTCCACAAGAGAGGAGCCTGAGAACTGAAAGATCTTCCTCCCATTCTGCTTTTGGAAACTCTAGGAACCGCAAGTAAACCTGCAGTCTGAGAGCAACGTGCTCTGTTAGGAAAATACGGAACAATAAGATCTGTAATATAGATGGAGCTAGGTTGTTGAGAGCTTTGTAGGTTGGAAGTAAGATTTTGAATTAAATTCTGGATTTGACAGGGAGCCAGTGGAGCTAAAACTGGAGAGATATATCTCCCAGTAACTCCAGTTAAGACTCTGGCAGCAGCATTTTGGATCACTTCAATACTTTTTAAAGAAGTATTTGGACACCCAGATAATAAACCACTGCAATAGTCCAGTCTAGACCAGTTTTGCTGGCAATAAGCTAGCCCCGCTAAGTGTTCAAAAACTTTTATTGTCTTGAATGATGTCACAGGAAGTTCCGTCCTAATATTTACAAAGCTTCACGGTGACGCCAAAGATTACACAAAGGGATTTCCCAACGCTACAGCAGCCACCAGAGAAACGCAGTCAATTTGTCAGAAAATTCTGTTTTTAGGATTATCTCTGAAGACGACTCAGTTTGAATCAATACTTTCACCGTTTTTGTACTGTAGTTTCCAGCGCGTAATATTAGAAGAATACTGTCATTGATTGTGAGATATAAATGTTTTCCTTTGTTCCTGTAGAGCTCGATAAAGAAAATTGGAACAACACTTATTTTTCCCATTTTTAAAGCAAGACAAAAAGGAGTCTCTCATATAATGGAAGCTAATTTATTAGACAGCCTTAGACATATTAGGTACACATGGAAGTACTGTTTGTGCTTCAACACTCGCAAACATACAATCCCAATATGTAAGACAGTTGTAGGACAGATTTATGTTGTTTTTTTCTGATAAATAATAGATATAAATCAAATGGTTTGGCAGAATAAACTCTTTACAACAGCAAATTCTATATATAAAAAGAAAACTCCAGTGTTTGCATCACAGAAAATGCGTTATAGTGCAAAAAACAACTTGTTTGGCCAGGAGAAAGGCAAGGGAAGGAAGAAATGTGGTCTAGGTATAGTTTTTATCTTGCAAAGCCATTCACCACTGGGGTCGGGGTTACATTGCACCAGAGGAGAAAACAAAGAAAATATATTTTACTTGGTTGACCACTAACGACTGCAGCTAAAACATCACAAACACGATGGCTTCACGTTGGCATTTAAAATAAAAGTTTCACTACTGCACAGTGTTTAAAAAGTCACCATTCAACAGTAAGACACTAAAACAGCAACATATGGCGAATACACAACACTATTCAGTGCATGGCCCGATAAACATTACTAACCAACAATAAGACCTTAATCTGACAGAATACAATACTGAAATACAACCAGACCTTTTTTTTAATTGAATATCAGCAAGCCTCGTTAACAACAAAACGTCGTTTTCCTTTTCTGAAAGGTTGATGCAGGAAAATACAACGGGGGCAATCAAAGTAGGGATGATTTTATTTTATATGTACCGGTAACTTTTTTTAAATAAAATTTTTTGTTTTAAAATTTACTTTTCTCAACCGAGCATTTTTGGGTGAAGACTTTGTCCAACAACTTGTTTTAAGTCTCAGCAGTTAAGTAAAATTAATGAACTATCAGAATATCGATTAAGATAAAACTTTATCGATCCCGCAGGAAATTGTTGTGCCAGAGTTTCAATACAAAGGAAGCAACTTTTGTAAGCATTTAATCTTTTTTAAATCCACGTTGTGTTTAATATGTTCAGTTTATGTCAGAAACAGAAAGTGACTGGCTTTGTTAGCTAGCAGCTAACTAGCTAGTTTTGCTAATGTCAGTTAGCAAACAGCATTTTTAAAATAAAATAAGAGATTTAAATTATTTGTGAATATATTACATAAAAACCAAGTGGTTTAAGAAAGTTTCAGAGCACTTTTTTTAAAATGTTATACTTAAAGCCAAAGTTGTTGGTGAATAATTGATTAGCATCATTAGCTAGCAGCTAATTAGCTATTTCTGCTAATGTGAGTACGCAAACAGTGTTTTTAAAAGAAAATTATTTAATTTGAGTGTACAATATGAAATCTGAGTTTAAAAAAAGAGTCAAAGCACTTTTTATTTTATACTTAAAACCATAATTGTTAATAAATTGACTAGCTTCATTAGCTAGCAGCTAATGAGCTAATTCTGCTAACGTCAGTAAGCAAACGGCATTTTAAAAAGAAAATGAGTGATTTAAATTATTTGTGTGTGTATAATATGAAAACTGAGTTGTTTAAAAAAGAATCAAAGCATTTTTCTTATTTATTTGATACTTAAAACCAAAGTTGTTGGTGAAGAATTCACCGTTGGCGTCTCAGGAGCTAAATGCTAACTCCGCCGCGCTCAGAACACCCACACTTGATACAAACACAGAACAGTCCAAGCATGCTACTGAATACAAACATCTCAAATGGGTGGTAAGCGCTCCTCCTCTCCGATGAAATAAATGTATTCATATTTTATATTGCATGATATATTTTACAATATGAACCTCTCAAAGTGCACATCTCCACTTCTACCTTTTTACAATAAAACTTGCGCCAAAGGAATAAAGAGGAGAAAACATCTACCTTTTTGCACTTTCTAGCAGGATTCATATACAGTATGACATTTTGGTATTTTCCTTTTTAAGTGGCCTTTTAATATTTTTAAACAAGTTTATTTAGTTGCATCCATTGTAAAACATGAGAATACTTGCAACATGTTTATCTTTGATATAACATATATATTTTTTTTTATCTTTTAAGATCTCTTTTTTTAATTTGCCCCCCTCAAGCAAGATGCATACACAGCTGATGGATTGGATTGGGTTGGGAAAGATGTGAAGGTAAGATGAGTTTGGATGTGCGAGAAGGATTTTAGCTCGTCACTTCCTCGTCTGGTTTGTTCATGGCTTTGAGCTGCTCCAGCAGGCTGGTGGGAGTGAAGATTTGGGTCGAGCCTAGAGACACACACGTCAAATACACAAGTTAGTGTTAGATCTGCACATTGGTGAGGAAACATTTAAAAAATATATTGTTTTTGTCATGGATGCCTACTGTAAATGATGGCAGCTTTAATGTTAAAAGAAAAAAAATAGAAGCCCAAAGTTACAAAATGATTGGTTAGTCAGCGGGTTAATAATGAATCATGTTTAAAGGAGCTTTTTGGAAAAACACTAAACGTGAGAAATGTTTGTTTTACTGTCTTTTTAACGTACGACTGTAGAAAACCCATTAAAGCTGCTCAAAGAGCTCGTTTTACTCATGAAAACCAGGTGAAATGTAGATTCTGGACTCTGGATTTCTGTCTTTGTGGATGGCTTTTTAGTCAAACAGCGTGGTTTATGTAGGACCAAAACCTGGACGTTAACCTGCACAGGTGGGACTTGCATGCATTAACGTGCCGGACCAACTACCACAACACAGAACACACGAGCAGGAAAAACATGACATGTACTTTCTTTCTGATAGGAACACTTCTGCACCCCTATGCCTGCAGGAACCGAGTAGTTCCTGGATTCAGTTTGGGTCCAAATGAGGTGCTCTTTGGATGGGATAACCACAAACTAGATCGTTAAACTCCAAGGACTGCCTTAATTAAAATGAATAAAATGATATTATTCCTCATGAAATAGTCTTTAGACTAGTGTGAAAATATTTCCAGTTTTGTTTGTTTTTTTCTTTTGGCTGCTCCCTTCTTCAGGGGTCGCCATATGAACCAAATCTCACGAAGTCTTGGTAATTGCTTTTTTTTTTTTATGCCGGATGTTCTTCCTGACGCAACCACAGACCACCGAGCTACCACAGCCCTGTGCGTGGAGCAGGGGGCTGCCATCTAGGGTGCGAGGGGTGGGCGTAGGTTGGGGGTTAAGGGCCTTGCTCAAGGGCCCAGAAGGGAGCAAATGAGGGTGGAGACACCCACATTTTTATGTTGTCAGTTTGGGGAGTCGAACTGACAACCTTCCGCTCACAGGCCCTCATTCTCTAACCTCTGCGCCACCACTCCCCCAAAACAATTTCCAGTGTATTTTGGCATAACTGCCTTCTTCAGGGACAAACTCCTTTTTAAAAATGGTCTGAAGGACAGGCAAGTGACTAGCTTAGTTAGCTAGATTATCTAGCTGCTAGTTAGCTTAGCTAGCTAGCATAGTAACAGCTAGTTAGCTAGGATAATTAATGTATTTTTGGCCAAACTGTGTTCTTCATGGACTCCTGTTTACAAAATGTCTAAAGAAACAGCTGGTGGCTAGCTCAATTAGCTAGATTAACTAACAACATGTTAGCTTGTTAGCTAAATTATCTAGCAGCTAAGTTACCTTAGTTAGCTAGCAGCTAGTTAGCTAGGCTAGTTAATGCATTTTTTGCAAAACTGTTCTTCAGTGACTCCTGTTACAAAGTGTCTAAAGAAACAGCTAGTTGCTAGCTTAGTTAGCTAGATTAGCTAGCAACTAGTTAGTTTAGGTAGCTAGTTAACTAGGATAGTTAAGTTTTTGGCAAAAGTGTGTTCTTCAGGGACTTCACCCCGTTTACAAAATGTCTAAAGAAACAGCTGGTGGCTAGCTTAATTAGCTACATTAACTAGCAACATGTTAGCTTGTTAGCTAAATTATCTAGCAGCTAAGTACCTTAGTTAGTTAGCTAGCAGCTAGTTAGCTAGGCTAGTTAATGCGTTTTTTGCAAAACGTGTTCTTCAGCGACTCCTGTTACAAAGTGTCTAAAGAAACAGCTAGTTGCTAGCTTAGTTAGCTAGCTTCTAGTTAGCCTATTTAGCTAGATTAGCTAGCAACTAGTTAGTTTAGTTAGCTAGATTAACTAATAGCTAGTTAACTAGAATAGTTAACAAGTTTTTGGCAAAACTGTTCTTCAGGGACTTCGCCCTGTTTACAAAGTGTCTAAAGAAACAGCTGGTGACTAGCTTAGTTAGCTAGATTAACGACAGCTGGTTAGCTCAGTTAGTTAAAGAGTTTCAGCATGACTGTGTATTACAGGGATTCTTCAGTGGAGGGGGTTGTAGTTGGAGTTATTATTATTGTATTTGTCTAGAGGACTGTGCTATATAAAGCATTTTAATCAGAGTGCCTTGAAGTTTCTTGACATTTGAGCCGAATCTGCAAACGTTCTAAAATTTTATATAAATATCTATATATGTGAATTTGGTAAAATAAGTAAATGAATAAGCGCAAGCATTTCTGATTAGGGTGGAAGGCCCCCGGTGCATTCTGAGCACATCCTTCATATAACACTAAACTGTAAAACAGTCAAGAATGAATTAAAAGGTTTTACTGGGACCCTCATAAAAAGTTGTTTAACAATTTATGCAATGATATTGATGATTTGCCGTTTTTTAAGCTTCTGAAAAAGTTAAGATGGACTTTAAAAATTATTATATGTGAAACGTTTATCTTTCAAAGTTTTATTTTTGTAGGACAAATGTTTTTCAGTCAAAAGCCACAGCTCAGGTGTCCTTCCAACATTTTTTCTCAAATTAAATACAATCCATTTTATAATGCACCTAGAGTTGGACATTTGGAAAACATGGTATGGTCAATTTTATTTATTGCATTTATGTAATCATGGAGCTCATACTGGAACCAGGAGGGGACTACCAAAAGTAGTTTTTCTTATTTTGCGACATGTAAAAACTTCTCACCTCAGAGTCAGACTTTGCCGTTTCAACGATAATTTTTAGGGAAAATGAAGATATTAAAGTTCATGTTGGTGGGAGTGTAGAGTTTGAACATTTTAGTGGGCCACCTAAATCTGTTGTCTGGTTTGTCCCGCTCAGACGTTAAAAAAACTTTAAAAAATGTTTCACTTTTCCTAGTTAAGAGTTAACTTGTGAGCAAAATAACTCAAAAGTTTTGATTGTTTCTAGTCTTTTTTCTCTCTCTCTCAAAGTTTGCCCTGCATGTAAGCACTTTAAAATAAATATAATCTTCATGAGCAAGTGATTGTGGACTCAACACACAAGAAGAAAAACAAAAACTCTAAAAATTTAACTTCGGCTCGTCATGAAGAAAACGGGTAACAAATCGGTGAGTGACTTGGCAAAAGGCTCCAACTAGAAAATAATCAGACAGTAAAAACTGATAACGATGTTGGGTGGTAGATTAAATCTGGAATGAGTGTGAGACAGTCTCAGAGGACTTTTGGGTGGCCGTTAAGGTGAGATTTAATCCACCCAGTTGAGATGACGAGAAGAGGCAGCAGGGATGGCGCCACATCTTCCTCGGGCATGGCCGCTCATCACCATCAAATTTCTAGCGATGCTTCAGCTTTTTACCAACAAGTCTCATCAAGTTTAATGATATTTCTACAAAGTCATGTTGCTAGCTCTTATTTTTTTGTGTTTCTTCTTTGTAAACAATAAGGATGAGTCTGATGGAGCAGTCCATGCAGTGAGGAAGGATCGGGGTGTCCATCCCTGAGGGACACAGGGAGGAGGAAGGTGAGGTTACATAGAACAGAACTGAGTGTTTGAAGAAGAGGAGGGGAACCAAGAGGAAGCCCTTTATACCGTATAGGTTCAGAAAGGGCTTCTTTGTGCGGCTGCCTTTACTTTTTTCTGTGATTTCTTTCTCCCTCCCTCCCCATCTGTCTCTGTCTCACTCGTCTGAGGGTTGTGGGTCCTCAAAGGACACCCTAGTGGACTCTCGGAAGTCGGGGTGCTGCAGGTCCGATAAGAATTTGGTTGGGGTGAGCAAGTGGGTGGAACCTGTGGAGGAACAGAGGCGGCTTCACCACTCGTCTCACAGCACATGCTTCGCCCCCGCCCCCCCGACTCTTTCCAAAAGAACAAACGTATCAAAAACACACAAAATACACACTCGTCCAGACAGTTTGCACATAACGCACACACTCGTCTTGTTGCACAAACACAGACATGATTTAAGGCGAATGGTTAAAAGACAACAGCTGAAGCGGAGCACAACAAAGTTAACGAGACATTAGATTTAAAACACAGACTGAACGGCAAAGCTTTAACAGTACAAAGGGACAAAACATAAAGGATAACTTCAATTTAACACAATACACACATTAGGTAGGTTTCAACTTAAACTATGATGTGGTAGTTTAAAAAGATGTTTTGATATTTTACAGGTGTGTAATGTTTGGATAATTTCTTCTGTTGAGTTCCACAGACTGTTTATTATCCTAAGTAGCTTTGTTTTGATAATTTTCATTGTTAAAATAGGAAAAACTAGTTCACGGTGCTATATATGATCAAATCTAAAGTTACAAAATCTGTAAAAGTACAAATGAAAGAAAATCAGTTCAATTTACTCCAAGAAGTTGGATCTGAAGCAATTCATGGAATCACGAGTTGCTTCACCGAGTTCTTAAAGTTCCCCTTGTAGCAACACGAGTTTTATTAGTTTTCACACTTTCTCTACAACGTGACCCGTCAAAGACACCGCCTCTGTCTTTAAGGTTTGAAGTCATTCTCACGAATTGCTCGTCAAACCTTTGTGTCCTAAATGCCTAAAGTCTATAAGAACCAATGAAGTGCTACTCACCAATGACAGCCTCCCACTTCCCATTAGCCTGTGTGACTTCGTAGGCGCAGCGCATCTCGCTGAAGGATGCACCGCCGATGATGAAGACCATGACTCGTGGACCAGTGCGGTACTCTCCAGGTGTCTTGTTTTTGTGCCAGTGTCCATATCGAGCACTGCCGTAGAAAAAAAAAGGACATTATTGCAGCTTTTTTTAACCCGTCACCACTTTATGTGAAGAATGCTTTCCTGTGGGAGTTTTTCAGGGCCAGAAAACTATCTCTTTATCTGAACTGAAGTACTGGTATTGTTTAAAAATGACTGGTTATCCAGGTCTTTGTGTCCTTAAAACAAACCTGCAACTTCAGTTTCTTTTCTGTTTCAGCTAGACTTATAGATAGATAAAGCTGGGCGTCATCGGTATAACAATTAAATCAAAAATGTTACATACCTTAAAGAAAAGAAGCAAATGTAAAAAGAACAGAAGATGACCGAGTGCAGAGCCATGAGGAATGCCATATTTAATTTTAATACACATTAACATGTGCAAACTCAAATCTATCAGACGTATGATTTAAAACACACTCTTATCACAGTGATCTCTTTACTTGAGTATTGGTTTCTTCAACTCGTATATTTTTCCATATTAGCATTGATTTTGTATTATTTTTATTTACGAATAAACAAACTTTTTTTATTGTTTCAGCCTTGCATCCACACAAAAATAGTGTTTACTAGCCCTAATACGGCATTTAAAAAAAAAACTGGTTTCAGAATGAAAAAAAAAAATCTAGAAACACAACTTTACGTTTTTTCGTGCAGATGGCCAAAACGCAACCTGTTTAAAATGTTTCACGCCCGGTGTGCACGCTTCATGCACGTCTTTGTCTAGTTCCCTACGTTTGGGGTTATTTTTGGTGTTTTGGTGAAAAGATACTGCATTTCTGAAAACAGTATTATATTTATGAAGATACTTTTAGGCACAAGAAATCCAAAGACAGTTTTGGAAAAACTGTGTTTCCGTGTGAACAAGGCCTCAATGTGCAACTGTGTTTGTGTGCAAGTACCTGACTGCAGTGGTGCTGAAAGAGGCAGAGGAGCGAGTGGAGATGTAAGGGTAGTGCTTCGTGTCCAGCTTATCCTCAATAGCATCCTGCAGGTTAACAACACAAACATGAAAACGAGCATCGTGTTGTGTCAAGGATTTTACCATTTGATAAATAAAAGGCTAAATATAACCGATAAATGTGAAGCTGGAAAAACTTGTTTGACTCGGACTGATGTGGGCGCACATCAATCAATCAAAACAGCTTTAGCATGTTGTTTTTGTAACCGCAGTTCAGTTTTGCTTGAAGCTCTGAATCTCCATTATGGCTGCAGAGCTGCTTTTTAAAGCTCAACAAACAAACCTCCATGATGTCCTTGATCAGGGGTGTCCAACGGGACAGCTGGTAGGTCTGCTCGCTGACACGCTCCTTCCTGTCCAGCTTCTTCCCTCTGCGCAGGGTGGACTGATGCAGGATAAAACCACATTTAAGTAAATATAGAAATAAATCATTGTTTTATTTTTGTGTGTGTAATTTAATCAATTAATAAAACTAAATTATGAGTTTGCTCATAAATTCATACAGATCCATTTATGACTACAGGTACTTTGTTAAAAAAATATTAGAAAAAAATCTCCTGGTTATGACTGTATTTAATATTTTTCTTTGCAGACAGTTGGCGTCAACGTATAAACAAATTATTGTGAAAAGAAACTACTTCACATTTCCCCGAGACCGGTTTCATTTTGCTTTCTTCAAGGTAAAAAAAATACAGTTTTGAAGTTGGCAATTAATGCAAATTGTTCCACATTTGCAGCAACCAGAATGTATTTGTCGCCCTATAAGTCACAGTTTGTTGCATAATTATCAGGCCCTGTGACTTATACAAGAAGCAACGTATTTATGGATTGTTTCCATATTTATAAACAATTTTTGACTGAGATATGACCGTTTTCATTCATTCTGACTGAATATATTGAACACTACCATAGCTAGATTGCAGTCAAGTTGTATGGCATGCTGTTGTGTCATGTAATAGGTAAAAGTGGCTATTAATGACACAATCGGCTTGCCATGGACTGCCACCTTCGTTTTGCCTGGAGCAACCGTCAAATTGGTTTAATTTCGCTGCACCGCCCCGGTGAAATGCAGCTAATCTGACCATCAAAGTGCATTTATTAAGTAAAGGTTCAACTGAGAGACACCTTTGCTATAATTTTGAGAAAACAAATAATTGTTTTTAAGTGTTAAATTCTTGTTAAAGTCCTGTTGTGCATGCTCCTGCGGCCACCATTTGTCAGCCATTCGATTTTTGGCACAACACCGGCGCACATTTGTGTCGTCAGCGGTGACGCGTATTACTGTAGATGCGACGTGTACGACGAAGCGACTTATTTATGTGTTTTCCACTTCATTAGACATAATTGGACTGATGCGACTTATAGGGCGGCGCGACGTGTACGGCGGAAATTACGGCAAATTATTATTTATTACAAGAAAAGGTCTGCCTTAAGAACCAGCTGGGATTAAATAATAAACACTGAGGAACAATGAGTTGATCTTACATCTGTGACGATGGGGACGCCCAGGTTGGCCATGTTGGTGATGATCTCACTGTCCTCTGGAGGAATCTGAGCGTGTTGGATCAGTTTGTTCAGGTTCTCCTCTGTAATGCCTGAGAACACACACGGGTCATACGGATGTAAATGAGCGACCGCCATGTTTACTCGTGTTCAGCTCTCCTGGTCGGTGGTTGGAAGCGGTTTACCAGCAGACACCAGCTTGAGCGTCGTCCACTCACCGTTCTTGAGGAAGATGTAGAGCAGGATGATGCGGATCTTGTCGTACGTGGTGACGTTTGCGTCGAGCAGGATGGGCACGATGGCCCTCATGGGGTCTTTGATCTTCTCTCCTTCAGCGTCTGTGCCCATCGCCAAATCCTATCACGGGAAAAAGGTTTAAATGTCGACGTCAACGTTTTAATTCTTTGTTTCCCCGAACAGGATCCCCTCTCACCTGTTCCACGCGGCACAGCTTGTCCACCGTCCCCTGGTAGTGCTTCATGCAGTCCTCGGCGAGCTGCAGGTGAGTAGAGTACTGCAAAAGACAAGGAGATGAGTATAAAATACTCGCACGAGAAAAGACGGGAATATTTAAAACACACCTTGCTGAGCTCCTTCTGGTACTGAGGCATCTTTTTCAACATCTGGGACAGATCCCTCATTGTGGTCTGAAACACAGGAAACCTTCAATTACACAATAATCCACAACAAACGGGACAATGCTCAAATCTGAGACAATTAAACATGAAAATTTAATTCCTGGCAGTTTTACTAAACTGAAAACGATAAGTGTCACCAAAGTTAAAAGTTTGAAGTTACACTTTCCTAATTTAAAATTTGACACAACCAAATTAACGTCCAGTGTTGTAGTGAATCTGTCATTTAAAGACATCAAAGCTTTAAAACGATTGAAAAAAATGATTAAATTTATTCATAAAACACCTTTAAACATCTCTGAAGAATAAAACGGGCACAAAGACCTGATAAAGGTACACAGTCTCCTCGGTTCAAGTACAAGTCATTTCAAGAATTCAGAATTAAATTGGACATTAACCCACAGACTTACTGATTCTGTAAAAATTTTATTGAGCAATGAAACTAAAATATGACTAACATTAAAAGTGATCAATGTAAACCTAAATGGGATATTTAACCCGTTTTTAGGGCAACTACATTTTTTGTGTGGATTTTTTTTTAATTTACAGGTTAAAACTGAATGCATCCCAAATTTTCACATGATAAAAATAAATAAATTAAACACCCGCAGGTCCTTCCCGAAGGCTCAGAGCTCCATGTTTTGGTCCCGCCCACAGTACATCAACACTGTGATTGGTTGATTTTCCCGTCAGTTATTAAATAGACACTGACTGAGCTCAGTCTTTAATTTTCTGATTCATCCAGACCTATAGTTGGATAAAGCTGGGTTTCATTTGCATAACAATGAAATCAGCAATGTTACATATACCGATTATATAACCCAAAAGAAGTAAATGTAAAAAGAACAGATGATCGAGTGCAGAGCCCTGAGGAATGCCATAAAATCTTGACCAATCATGTTTCTGCCCAGAGACACAAATTTAAAATAATCTCGTTGGAATTCATTCTCATGAATTTAATTGTTTCTTGCTCAGCTGCAAAGGAGTTAAAGTGAAAATTAAAACAAAAGAAAAACTTTATTCAAAATGTACATTTTTTATGAAATAAGCGTTAAATACAAAATTCAATGTAGCATTTTATGTGTGCTGAATTTATAGGCTTTCTCTGAAGACATAGAAGGCCCTGAGGGTTCCCTACTTCTATGATCTAAAAAATGTGTTTAAATCAAATCTGCACTCGTCGTTCTGTGGATACCTTCTCTCCGGTGTTCATCCTCTTACTGGAGGAAAACTCCTTCAGTTGGCGCGTTACTTCCCTGAAGACACAAAGGAGAAGCGCTAACGCGAGGCAGGATGTTTTTATTCATCCTTTAATTTATTACAATAAAGAGAAATACTCACTGGGACACCTCGGCGATGTGTTTGTGTCTCAGGCTCACCCACAGATCATCGTCTTCATGCAGCAGAACCTCCTTCACACGAGAGTCTCCGATACCGCTGGTCTCGTATCTGACCAGGACACGAACAGTCAAACTCAGACTTCAAACGACGAGTAATTGCTGCTCGTTTATTCCTACTTGTAGACGTCGTTTTCGATGGGCAGCAGGTCGTAGCCCATGGCCTGGAAGGTGAGCTCGTGTAGGACGGGTGACACCGGGTCGAAGCCTCGGTCCAGGATGATCAGCTGTGAGCGAGCCTTATCAGGACCCTGCAGAAACACGAGCACTGCCTGAGCGTCGGACGTGAAGTGTTTAAATCAACGCCGGAGCGACGTGTGAAACAAAAAACAGTCATGTTCATTTTTTTTAACTTTTTAGTCCGTTACGTTCATGTCTGCTAACAAACTCCTCATATCCAGTTTATAAAACTTTATTTTTTCCTCATTAATGAACGCTAAATGTATCTCATAATTTCTTGGTGTCTTTGAAACATACGAACTGTCATTAAATTAATTTGTATATCCTTACATTCTTGTTCCTCCTGGGCATCTTCCACACCCTCCAAACTTCTTCTGATTAGAAGTTTTGAGGTTAAAGTGAAAGTTCTGGTCTTTTGAACTGTGTTCTGTGGAAGGGTTGACGAACAATAAACATCTTACCTGTTCACCGGTTTAATAATGGCAAAGTTGACGAGCTAAAGATGAGTTTTAAAACCTTTACGCTTCCATCAACTTTGCTGTGCTTTGTTAGTCACATAAAATTATTTATTTTGAATTATTTGCAAATAAAAATATCGATGGCGCAGCTAGCAGTAGCGTGTCCGGTGCGATGACCATATTTCTGCCAGAACAACTAAAGTGAAGCTGAAGGCGACTTAAAGGTTTATTAAATAACGTTTGCGTCAGTGTCTATAAAATCTTTGCGATCCATTTTAGCTCAGACGAGCCATTGGCTCATTAATCCAGTCAGAATTAATCTATTTCTTCAAATGGAGGCGCTATCTAAAACAGGTAAGATAATAACTGTTAAAAATCCTTCCACAGAACCCCACTTCAGAAGATCTGAACTTTTAATTTAATCTGTTCAACTGTAATAAAAAAAATTAAACTGCTAAAGGTAAACGTTAAATGTAACAAAGACCTTCGTCATGAAGAGGAAACGATGCTGTTTTTATGCAGAATGCTTTAAAGGTTGGTTTTAGAGAAATAAACATATTTTAATTTAAAATTACAGCTTTAAACGAGAGTAAAGTAAACAATTCAGCTGACCTCTCCCATGGTGGGATCGTCGGCCTTGTAGGCATCGAGTTTGTCCTGAACCAGCTGGGCCAGAGTGGCGTTGTCCTTATACTCCCTTGAAGACGGAGACACGGGGACAGGCAGGACAAGAAAGACTAGACATTAAATAAAAACAGGTTTTCTCCTGATCAAATAATAAACACCATCGTAGGACCGAATAAAACTTTACAGTAACGGAGAGTTCTTCGTTAGTAGCTAACAAACATCTGTGACCCATGATGGTAAAATAAGTCTGAGTGATTCCAGGCTGCAGCGCAAAAAACATGAAACAAGTTCATCAAATCACCACCTGGTGACTAAAATATCATCGTTCTAATCTACTTTTTAAATCAACGTTTTCTAACGAGCTCAATTCTTTTGATTAAGTTTTAAAGTCACACTTTTTGTTTTTCCTCTGCTGGAAATCCCTTCGTGTAATGTTCGGCGTCATTATGACGCTCGGGGATTCCCCTTTTTAAAAACGCGTCTGGAATTCCTGATGACGTCACCCAATAAAGCGACGTCATCAGACGGACCCAGACAAAAGCAGCTCGTTGATCAATCGGATCAATTTGAAGCTTGAAAATGGAGAATTTGAAAACGATTGAAGTCTGACTCGTTTGTCAGCACGGGTCACGTTCGTCGTGGCGTGGTGGTTTCGCAGCGCCTCCTCACCCTCGATATCGGACAGCGGGGTACTCCTTCAGGGTGGCGCAGAGCGTGGCCAGCTGCTCGGCCAGCCGCTCCATCACCGGGTTCTTCAGCTGGGTCTTATGGGGGCTGTAGAAACTGTGGAAGGCGTCTGGGTTGTCCAGAGAGTACACCTGCACACAGGAGATCAAACGTGTGTCGTTATCTGATGGAAGCCCCACGTGGTCCTAGCTTCAAGTCTCGTCTTTCTGTACCGCACCTCCTCCCAGCCCGTCTGCCCAAAGTCACATGACCACATGGGTTGCCAGCAATGAGGGGGCGGGGCCACGAGGCAGCATTTTGCCCGGAGCAGAAAACCACTGAATGTGAATTAATCATAGCTGACAGGAGAGCAGCAAAGCATTGTGGGCCGCCCATCATCTTCAGATACTGGCAGAGTGAAAGAATGGGCGGAGGGGGAGGACGGAGGAGAAATAAAAAGCTTGACGCTGCAGGAAGACGTGCAGAGGCAGGGATGGAGAAATGGCGACATGAAGGGAGGGAAGCGAGTGTTTCTGGAACAGTGTGAGCCAGCAGCTTCGTGCCCAGACTCCACCTGAGCGTGTGACTGTTTCTCTTTTATAAAACAACAACCTCGCAGTTACTATTCCTGTCGGTGTCCCTTTACAGCACCGCTCTCTCCCTGCAGTCGATCTGTAGCTGCTTCATTTCTCTGCCTCGAACAAAGAGGAGCCCCTTTTCTTTCATCTGTTTATATGGCGACATTAAAAATGCAAACGCAGATAAACGTCCGAATGTTAGACTTTTTCATCAACAACCCACTCTTGTGTTTCAAGACAAAGACCTCACCTCTCCTGACAGACACAAACCACTTGCAGCGTATCAAGTACCAACATTACAGGGATACCAAAACAAAAGGTCAGCTCGTATGCCGACGACGCCTTACTTCACCTACAGAATTACCTGAAACTACTCGACTCATCTTCCATCTCCATCTTCTGCTTGTTCATAGTCAGGTCACAGAAGCAACGGGTCCAGGAACCCAGTGACTCTCTACAGGCCTTCCTGGGGTATCCCGAGGTGTTTGAAGATATATATAATCCTTCCAGGAAACTCCAAACAGAGGCGTCCTGTTCAGGTGAAATACTTCAACTTGATGTGTTTGATGGAGCAGCAGCTCCGAGCTCCCCCCGGATGATGGAGCTCCTCACCTTTAAGGTGAGCCCAGCCACTCTACAAAGGAAGCTCATTTCAGCCACTTGTTCCCAGGATCTGGTTTTTATGATCATGGTCCAGACCTCATGACCACAGGTTAGAGCTGGAACATGGACAGACCAGTACTTCCAGAGCTTTGCTTTTCAACTCAACTTATTTTTTCACCACAAGCAGACCAAAGCAACGCCCTTATTACTAAGAATGAGATCTCAATCCATTGATCCATCTCCTGCTTCATCTTACCATCAAGAAAAAGACGCTCAGATTAACTCCTCCGCCTGAGGACGACTCTTTATAAGAATATTAATCAACTTAACGTGCTGCTTGAGATGGTAAAACCTCAAGGTGTGGCTGCAGGTTTACCTGAGACTCGTAGGGCAAGAAGGCGATGTTGATCTCCGTCAGAGTCTTGATCACTTTAGAAGCCCGGCTCTTAACCAGCTCGTTGAAGAGCGGATCAGGACAAGCTGAGCAGAGAGAAAAATTAATGATTCCATCTCCGTCCAGTTGTTTGTCACGCTACTTAACTCTTCTGAAAATTATTTAAAAATAACAATTATAGCTAAAATATTTAAAAAATAACAATTATAACAAAAAAATTAATAATATTTATAACTAAAATATTTAAAAATAACAATTCTAACTAAAATATTTAAAAATAACAATTATAACTAAATTATTTAAAAATAACAATTATAACTAAAATATTTAAAAATAACAATTATAGCTAAAAAAATTAAAATAACATTTATAACTAAAATATTTCAAAATAACAATTATAACTAAAATATTTAAAAATAACAATTATAACTAAATTATTTAAAAATAACAATTATAACTAAAATATTTAAAAATAACAATTATAACTAAATTATTTAAAAATAACAATTGCAACTAAAATATTTAAAAATAACAATTATAGCTAAAAAAAATTAAAATAACATTTATAACTAAAATATTTGAAAAATAACAATTATAACTAAAATATTTAAAAATAACAATTATAACTAAATTATTTAAAAAT